AAGAAATAGCTGGAAAATGTATCCAGGTTTACAAATATAGAGACACAAGCTCTAGTCTTCTTCATGACTTTTTGGATTAAGGTGATCTTTCCCAAATCTCAACACATTTAAAAAACATGATCTTGAAAGGAGGATACTATTAACCAGAGTCTCTACAATATATTCATTGTGTGATATTCAGTTAAAATACTATTCTGCATGATGGCATAAAGACTTGAATGAATGAAAATTCAGAGAAAAACTGGTCAATTTAAACAGAACTCCAGGTATAGATATTGAAATGATTGATAGATATGTTTTTAAAATAGACTTAAAATAGATAATTTCAAAGAAAATAAGAATATAGGAAAATTGAAATAGGTTTTCATACAGATAAAAAGGAGATATTTCTTAGTTAAATGAGATAATTCACCAGGAGGATACAGAAATTCTACAACTGTATATTTGCATTTCTTAATTTACATAGTTCCCATATTCACAAGTAACAGTAATCAGTCTCTCAACAATATGATTGAAACTGCAGTTTGCCCAGTATATTAACTGAAACTGCTTAAAGTTTAAAATTCACTGCTACCCTTTAAATACAAAATCACCATGTAAATAACAGATACAAATCATGACCAGTGACCAACACCAGTTCTGAGTCTGTCCCTGACTAGTTCATCTGTGTCACTGAGTATCTCTTATTTGAATCCCAACATAAAAATGTGTAGTTGTGTTGCCTCTTTGTTCCTTAGTAATAAAATCAAATAAAAATTTTCAAAAATGGATACCCCAAAGCAACACCGACCAACAAGGATGCAAGTGCAGCAAAGAAAAGAAAAATTGTGATCCTGGAAATGTGATCGATGGTAAATGGAGGTGTAGAAGAAATCCTTCTTCCATTCAAGCAACTCTAGACAGGCATCCAGAGAAACTCAACAGAGGTGAAGTTGTCAACATAAATTTAGGAAGTTTTGATAAAAAGAATGAAAATGTTCCAGAGGAAGTGATGTAAAAAAAGAAGTACGTGTTAGAGGAACACGATGTTGGAAGTATGAAAGATAAAAAGTGAAAATGTGATCTAGTCTTGGAAAGGATATAATTATTTACTGAGGCATACAAAAACTGTCTGCTTTATAACAAAACTCCTACATGAGGAAAAAAAGATTTTTAACACATACTGTACTTCTCAAGGCCTGAAGGACACAGAATACACACACACACACACACACACACACACACACACACACAAACAACACAGTCAATATAAGGAAATTTCAAGAACATGGTGGATGAACGTGACCTGTGAGATATGTAGCATGCTTTAATATTTAATGGTTGCATATTACACACCCATTTCACAATTACATGTGGTATTTACCAATAGTGACCTTATGCTGATCTGTGGATTGTGATTCAAGGTTCAACAAATTTCAAGAATTAAAATGCAGAATATACTTTTGATCACAGAAGAATCTAGCTATACTGCAAATCCAAAAATGTTTTCACCTGAAACACTACATTAATAAATAACTCTGAAGTCAAAAATAAATCACTGCAAAGGTTTTAAAATATATTTGAAATGGATAACAGAAATAAGCTATGTAAAAACATATGTAGCTAAAATTATGCATTAAGAGGAAACTTTAAACCTTAATGCATAGATAGAGAAATACATGCAGATAGATAAACGAAGATAATAAGCATGGGTGTGTGAAAAACAATGATCTACATCACCTCAAGTTACTAGAAAAAGAAAAGTTAAAAGCAAGCATAAAATAAAGGAAGTAGGGATGTGGGTGAAACTTATTGGTACAGAGAATTGGGTTAACATGTATAAAGCACTGGGGAGAAAAAGAAAAAGGAGGAAAATAATGAAAATAAGACCATGTGTATCTTTGTTTACATAAAGAGACTAATGAAAAGTTAATAAAAATGATAAATCCTTAGCAAATATGAACCAATGAGTAAACTAAAAATTAATATGCACTAGAAAGAAAATTAAACATTATTTAAAACGTAGTAAGTTTTTAAGTCATTTGTGTTTTCTCCTGCTATTTCATGGATTCCTCCTATCAGTCTTATCAGCCCCCACAAAAATAAAGACCCGATTCAAACATGGGCATCCAAAATGAACAGACATTTCTCAGACAAAGAAGTAAAAGCAACAAGTAAATATATGAAAAAATGTTCCACATCACTGGTCATTCGAGAGATGCAGATGAAAACAACACTGAGATTCCACCTCACCCCACAAAGAATGGCTGCTATCAAGAACTCACACAATAACAAATGTTGGCGGGGTTGTGGGGAGAAAGGAACGCTTCTCCATTGTTGGTGGGAGTGCAGACTGGTGCAACCACTATGGAAATCAATATGGAGATACCTGAAAGAGCTTGGACTGGAGGTTCCATTTGACCCAGCCATCCCTCTGCTGGGTATCTTTCCAAAAGAACTAAAAGAATCATATCACAGTGATTATGTGCACCCATGTTTATAGCAGCACAGTTTGTAATAGCTAAAACTTGGAAACAGCCTATTTGCCCATCTGTTGGAAACTGGATAAAGAAGATGTGGTTTTTCTATAAAATGGAATATTACTCAGCCATAAAGAATGAGAAAATAGATTCATTCATAGGAAAATGGATACATATTGAAGATATACTCCTAAGTGAAATAAATAAGTCACACATGTGTAAATACCAAATAGTTTCTCTGGTGTGAATAAACTGCAATAATACATAAGATCCTAATAAGATTACAGACATTGTGAAATGGGAAGAAAGCGGCTAAAGGTGTAGGGAAGGTGGGATGGATAGGGGAAGGGTAATAAGGGAAAACAAAAAAATGTGAGATAATGAAAAGATGGAAATAAAGTGCTTGTAGATGGGGAAGAGAGGAGGGGGTGAAGGGAGGGCAGGGACAAGGAGAAAAAATGAGAATCAAGACTTGTCATGTAGAGGTACAAGATCCCAACAATGAATGTAACTGTACTGTATCCCTAAAATGTTCCAATAAACTCAATTAAAGCTGGAAAAAAGAACTTAGTAAGTTTATTATTTTAGAAATAGGGACAGATTATTTGAAAAACTTGACCCACCAAAATTGATCAAATAAGAAATAGAGAACCTAATTTTTTTATATTTGTTTTAAAATTCTAATTCATAATTTAATTTTTTTCCTCAAAGAAACTTCTCAAGTCGGATATCTTCACTGGTGATTACTTTAAAAATCGACTTTACACAAAATATTTTAGAGAACTGGGGAAAAAAAGAAATTTATTTTAGGTAGATTTGGTTATAAAACCTGACATTATAGAATAAAGAAAGTTAGAAGCCAAGCTCTAAGGAATGTACATGCAGGAACAATTAACAAAAATTTTAAACAAGGTCTAGAACTACTTTAAAAGGACTCTACACCACTTCCAAGTTGTTCTTTGTTTCCAGGCATCTAAGTTTTGTTTAACATTTAAACATCTATCAAAGCCAAGATATTAAAAGAAATAAGAGAAAAATTAATTATATCAATAGATGTGGAAAGGTATTTGATAAAATCAATGTTTTCTTGCTCAGAAAGTTAGAAAAAGGTAATAAGAGAAGTTAAAGACTTAAATGACTGAAAAAAAAAACATATTAGATGGCTCTGGTTTAAAAAAAGAAAAACTCTCCCTGGGCTGGGGATGGAGCTCAGTAGTGCCATGACTGTTGGCAAGCACAGGGCCCTGAGTTCGATTCCCAGTACTGGAAAAAAAAAGAAAAGAAAAGAAAAATTCTTCCCAAAGGACTTACAGCATTAATGAAATATCAATCAAAATTACATTAGTTTTTTTTCACATAGGGAAATTGATAAACCAATCTCAAAATTTATATAAAATTCAAAGGACCAAGAATAGCAACATCACCTGAAAGAAAAATGAACAAATATCTATGACTTGTATTAGAGGACAAGAAGATATTAAAATACACAGGACTAGAAAGAATTGTAATCATTATAAATTATAAATATATCATGTACACTGAGAAGAAAAGGACAATCCAATAGAGAACTGAGCAAAAGACTTGACCATGCCTTTCAAAAAGGAACAAAATAAAACAAAACAAAAAGATCTACGTATGACCAATATACATTTAAAAGGTTTCCAATCTCCTTAATCAAACAATGCAAATTGAAAACACAGAGCAAAACCTTTATATAACAGAAGATTCAAAAAATTTTAAATTACAAGTATTGGTGAAAACATGAAGCAACTGAAACCCTCCCAAGCCTTGAGTGGTAGTAGAGTCATAAAACAGCTGCAGAAAGTTGTTTACGGTAATGGACTGGAGCAGGCCTACCGGTGATCCCTCGGTGCCAAATATACTGAATGGTTCACACACATTCATTAAAAAATACAGAAATGTTTACTACAGAACAATCTGTAATAGTAAAAACCTGGCAACAATATAAATATCCAATATATCAAAATAAATAACCAAAAATCAGTATTAGACTGCTTAAACACAATGTAAATTCATTTATTAGAATGCTGTGTTGCAAAGAAAATAAACACTATAACCAAGGGAAGCAAGAGGAATGAATCTCACAAACACAATGTTTAATGTGATAGAATCAGATGGAGTACATACACAATCGTGTTTAAGCTTACAAATAGCCAAAACTAATCTTATACACCTCGGTAGTATAATAATAGAAAAGAGGCAGAAGAGAGCTTTGTGACAGTGATTCTAATGCCCTATTTCTTCATCTGTATGGTTATTAGAGAGGATACTGACTTTGCAAAATTCAGTGAGCTTTGCATTTTTTATTTTTACACTCTTCTGTGTGTATGTTACTTTGATAAAGTCATTCTTCATACAGAAGGCCAAAATTCAAAGAGAGGTGAAGATAAATCTATCTATAAAAACTCTGAGATACCAAGAGGAAAGTTCCTGGCCAGCCATTCAAATGCACAATTTAACACACACGCACACCCTCTCCCCTGTCCACAACCTTCACAAATAACTGTTTAAGCTACTTACTTCGAGCCAAACTTCATTCTCCTTTTCCAGGCTATCTTCTGACTGCTCAGTCCTTTCATCCTGAGGCCTTTTTCCACGAGTGATGCAGGGAAACCAGCCAGTAAAGGGGTGGTGCTTGGGTAGATCTGGATGGTATGATGTGCAAATCTGAAATGCAATTTCAACCAAAAATTAAGTGCACAGTATGACAGATAAGTAAAGACTACAAACCTCTCCAGTATAAAACCAAAGGTTTTTTGAGTATCTAAAGATTTTTTTCTCAGTGTAGAAGAATTTCTTAATGTTCTGTTAGCCTCAAGATATAACATGCCAGTGTTTTTGTTTTTGTTACTGTTTATTTGTTTTTGTCTTTTGTTTTAGAGGGTTTTGTTATTGTAGTTATTTTGGTTTTTGCAGTCCTGGGGATTGAATACAGAGCCTTTGCATTGAGCTACCTTCCTGTCCCCCTTTGTTTCTATTTTGAAATACAATGTTAAACTGCTAAATTGCCCAGGCAGGGTTTGAACTTGAGATCCTCCTGCCTCACTCTCCCAAAGTGCTGGAAATACAGGTGTGCACTACCATATGCAGCAACATGCCAGTGCAGAAAATCACACAGAAGAGCTCAGTCCACCATCAGTCCGCCCAGGGATCTTGCCCAAAGAATAATCCTGGTACATTTTGGGCAACTTGTCCATAGCTCAGCAGAGGAAATCTTTCTTGGATAATGGTTATAGGTCCTTGCCATGTAACGTTAATTGACCCCAAAAGAGAGCCTACGGAGTCAGGGAGCTGTTGAGCCTTGGGCTACTGAATAAAGGAGCCAGGGAAGCAACACTCCTGGAAACTCTTCCACTGCAATTAGGGACAGGACAGACTAAAAGCCACTTCAGGGAGATGTCACTAACTCAGAATCTCCCGACTTTACTGACTTCCTCCCATTGGGCGCCAGAACTCTAGAGAGAAAGTTGTCAGAAGTGGGCTGAGGAAGAGTAGTGGGAAGGGCTAGTTGCCTAAGAATATCCATTTCTCTTTCCTTTCTTTTAACAAATTCCAATTTATTCAAGGGTGTCTGGTTCCATAAATGCTCATCTTCTTAGGGTACCTACAACTAAGGCTGACAAAATGCCCTGGATCTGTCCAATAAGATATGGCTGCAAGTCTACAGTGTTGAACTTCCACAAAGGTGCTATTTTCCCAGCACAAAGGGAAAGACTAAGCTGACGTAACACCAACTTCTCTATGGTTTGCTCCTTTCTTCCTACTTGAAACGCCAGTGGCACCAGCAGTGATGTTAGGGAAAAGAAAAGGAAAACTGCAACCAACAATAGATCTAAAAGATGCAAGGGTCCTTGATGAGATCTTTAACTGTAGCATCAACCTTGAGAAGTTGCTCAATATCTTCACAGATGGATTCCCAAGGCTAAAATCCAGTTATTTCTTCCTAGACTGAAATACCTGGAGAGCTAACCTTCACTTCTATAAAAGAACTGTACTGCCTATTCGTACAACAAACGAGAGTCTATTTGGCAAAAGAAGCATCTGGAATGGTTCACAACAGCCAAGAGCCCTTAGCCTTCTCAGTATCAAACTATAATCTATAAATATCAATAGTGTAGGATTTCAGAGTCCTCAGAGGATCTCTTATCTACTTAGGTGGATATTCAGGAAAATTGTACAATTAGACATTTGCATTTGGTACTAATTCCAATGTTTCTTCAACAATAATAATTCTTTAAGGCAAATTATACTTTGACTTTAATATATGTTTTATATTTCCTTTGGTCCTTATAATAAACAATTCAGATAATTGCAAAAGATATTAACGTACTCATTTATATATAAGTATGGAACCCAGAAAATTTAAGTAACTTGTTTAAAATCATCTAATGATAATAATACCAGTGGGGCCCAATAGTATAACCAGTCCTTCAAATTTCTTACTAATTCCTTTTCTTCTTTGAAAACAGGCTCTGCCAAATACAGAGCCTAAATGTAATTTCTGATATAAATGTTTATAAAATAAAATTTGAGATGCTTGTGTATACCTTGGAGTCAATCACTGGGAAATCCAAAGAGCCTAGCTGCAAATATGTGAAGTTCACTGAAGTGAGCACGAAGGGTAGGATTCCACTGCTAATCTAGAAGGCTTTCCCACAATATTGTCTTTGTCTGAGGTCAGTAAGGACAAACTTCATGTCGCAATCTGGAGCACAGTGCAAGCCCCCATTACACATTTACAAGCATCCCTTCGCACTTTGGCTCAGCCTTGACTTGAGGCATCTGGCTTAACGTACCACGGAATGAGGTGCTCCAGTTACCAGAGAAACAGGACACTTCCTCTTGTCTTCTTGAGAGGAGTAAGCCTGGCTGGCCCACTGATCCAGGTGTCCTTTGGGGGTATGGAGGCCACAGTCTGCGATGCTGGTTTCCTTCTCAAAAGGCTCACAGATTCCATCTCCCCCATACCTGTAGCAAAGGCTTGGCTCCCCTGAAAGGAAGCACATATGACACCAGGACAGTGTTTTTGTATTTCCCAGGAGGAAGTCACATGAAGGTCTTCACAGCATTTTTCTCCAGACCACTAAGGAGGAGCTGTGCCTCTGAGGCAGTCGAATGCCTACTCTGAATGCGCATGGCCCACATCCCTGAAGAAAGGGTACTTTCTCGCTGGAGGAGAGGTAGAGTCCATCTGCAGTGTAGAGTCAAAGAAAGTATTGAGACCGGGGGAGGGGGTACAGAAGCTATAGGATGAGTGTGGGAAATGTTTCAGGTGATTGAGACACTCTGGGGAAGCTAGACGTAGAAGAGATACAAAATAAAGGGAGGCTCGAATAAATGCTCTTATATATTTGAACACCCTCCATAATTTTAAAGATATTGAATTATTTGAAGGGTTTTCTCACTTCATTGTATTTCTTTCCCTTGCCCCCCGCCCCCCGAGTCGTACTTTGACTGTGTGACTGCTCTGTGCCTGGATCAGTATTGGCTTCAGGTTTATCATGGTTATTCTTCTTAGTTTTGGAAAACCCTGTGAGCGTAGTTTTGGCCTTGTTTCATAAATGAGAAATCTGAGTCTCTGCGAATTTAAATGACACCAGAGGATGCATGACTGAGAAATAGCCCCCTGCCACGCTGAGCCAGAGCAAACAAAGGAGAAAGGGATATTTGGGGAATACGGCTGGGGTTGTAAAGCAAACTTTAGACAATGGACAAGTTTCATAAGATAATTCCTACTAAGTGGGTAGTACCGACTCTCTTCAAATCTGGAAAGCTGAGAAATAGCCACAATGCTATTTATGAAATTCCATTGTCCCAAAATATGGGACAATAATATCTGTAATATCTCTAAGCATATCTCCAGTCTCCCGGTTCTACTTAAAGTAACGTGGCATTAAAAATACGATCAATATTCAAAACGAATCAACACCTAGGTACACATTCAGCAATATAATTAATAAAATTCACTGTGACCAAGTTTTTGGGGAGGGCATTTATTTCTACACAGCACCCCTATAGGGATATTCAAGTTATTTTTCAGCTACACGTGAACATATCATTGCTAATTATTTTCCATAATAATTTCCTGACTCTAAGACCCTTCATCTCTGCAAGCCAGGACTAAGCCACTCTTCAAAGTTCATGTTTCTAAGTCTACCAGGGGCTCTCAACTCTCTCCTGCACTCTTTGAAACCTGTGGCCTACTCCAGGCTCTCCCTCAAAGTTTGTCTTACCCGAGCATCTCCCCACAGCCAGGATACGCGCTTTCAGAATGACTTTCACACGCCGATTCATCTTCTTTTCTCTCTTCATTTCTACCTCTGTTCCTGTCTGTCTCCATCTCACTCTTTATTATTATTTATAAAATTCCATGTATATTTTTTAAAATTTTAGCCTAGTGAGTGCTTTTTCTTGCTTCTTGTATATTTTTTTACTATGGGATTAAAATTATTGTCATTATTAAAGAAATCCATCTGAAAATTACAGACTACTTTAAAAATACATTTCAAATTATTACTTCAAATCTTTTTTTTTTTTTTTCAGTAATAGGGTAGAACCCAGGGCCTTCATACTAAGCTACATCCTTAGGCTTTTTCTTTTCTTTTTGGTTTTTTGAGACAGGGGCTCACTATGTAGTTGAGACTGATCTGGCACTCACGCTGTAGCCCAGGCTGATCTCGAACTCACAGCAACCCTCCTGTCTCAGCCTCCCAAGTGCTAGGATTATATGCATGCACCATCACACCCGGAATTTTTCATTTTTTATTTTGAAACACCATCTCTTTAAATTATTAAGTTGCCTAGGCTGAATTCAAATATCTAATCCTCCTGTCTCAGCCTTTTAGAGAGCTGGGATTATAGGTAGGTGCCACCATCTCAGGTTTCTAACGAAAAAGAATGATATGCTTAACATAAAATAAGCTTACTGATCACTGAAAAGGATGTCTAGTGGTAGAACATCCCACTTTAACTTAACCCAGTAAGTAATTTAAATATAGTATTTAAGTATAGTTAAAATAATTTAGATATAGTCTTACTGGAGTTACAGGCTAAGGACATATGAGTCAAACTTTATGGGATCGAATGTGATAGAAATAAAGTCAAGTCTGCTCTTAAGTGAGACTTGAGCTGCATGCACTGAGGATGCACAGTGTTTGGAGAATGTGTGTTTGTTTTCAACACGAGGCCACTATGTGGCTACCAAAAAGAGACAATACAAACAGAGGTGGTATTAACAAATACTTGTGCACAGAAGAGGGAGGTAATCGGTTCAGTGTATTCTACACAGCTAGACCACATCTGGAGTATTGGATTCCTCTCTGGGCATTGACCACACAAAGCATGCCAGGTTGGGGTAAATAGGAAAGGGTCTGGAAACCTAATCACATGAGAGGATGTTTGTATTGGAAAGGAGTATAATGAGAAGGCATTTCAAATATCTGAATGGTAGTCAAATAAAACAGGGAAAAATGTATTCTCTGTAGTCTCGTAGCAAGGAAAAGGACCTGGTTTGAGCTTGGAAGAACTGAGTTCCAGGGCTGGCTCAAGAGGCCTTTTTGCATACACTTGGAAAAATCACTGAAATGTTCTGAACCTCAGTTTACAAACTAGAAAAAGGTAGAAAAATTTCACAACAGATGAGACCACTTTTGAGCAAAATGGTCTGTTCCAAAGTAAATTCTTCAGTGCTAGAATTGTCTAAGCACAAGTTACGGGCCCATCACCAGGATCTGGTAGAAGGGAGTTCCATAAGAAAACAAAACTAGATTCCGAGTCACTGCTCGATGGTACCCATGAAGGGCGTGAGTCCCTGTCAGACTCTTGGCACATGAAAGACGATGAATACATGGTACCACTGAGTATGTGGTACATCATGGACATTTTGCAAGTGGATGAATGATGGGTGCCTAGATGAATAGATGGATGCGTGCATGGACACTGAGATTCTATGATTCCGTTCTTTCTCTAGAAAGCAGGGGCCTTTGAGTACTTGAAACCTTAGTAAGCTCTACATAATTATAATCGTATCATCCAACTTCATCTTGAGTTTTAGAAATACAAAAGTGGTTTCAAGTGCATTGCTATTTAAAATACTATTGATGTGTGGTTATGCTCTACAGAACTGCTGCGGCCTGTACAGGTGGAAACAGAAAGTAACACGCGTCTAAGAAACCTGTTGATGGCAGTTTTTATCAGAACTGAGAGAAGCATTGAAGGTCACCTCCTCAAGGGCCAAAGGTTTACAGTAAAAATCACCTCATTATAATTTATTACCAGTGATTACCTAGGACAAAAAATATGTGTGATTTTTATCCTTCATGATTTTAGTACAGCAGGAGACATCATGTACTCCCTTTGGCTTAGAATGAGTCCTTACATTAGTTTGTTTGTAGAATCCATATGATTTTGTTACTCGTGGATCATTTTGATGTTACACATGATAATATAAAGGAACTTCTTGGAAAAACTAAGGTAGGAAGCACTAACCTAACGATTCAACCTGAGATTCTGGAACTGTATGTCCTTGACTCAAATTCTAACTTTACTACTTCCAGTTTTATAAGTGGACACAAATTGTTTAATGCTTCTATGCCTCAATTTAGTTTCCTCATAGTCCTGATAAGTATTAAGCTGGATAATTTATGTGAAATATTTAGTGCCTGGAATACAAAATATGCCATTGTTTTTCTTATTATCACTAAGTTATATGCTACACAATATGAAAGACTCAAAAATACACTGAGATATCTCTAAAACTCAGAAATAATTATTCTAGGCAGAAAGTTCTAAACTCACCCATACAGTTGAAGCCTTCCTCTAGCTTACATGCTCTTGAACACCCATCTGCATCCAACAGGTCTCCGTCATCACACTCTTCTCCCAGGATCCTAAAATTATACATACAGGTGCAAATAAAATGTTTTCTTCTTTCTTAACTACCATCATTTTAATTTCTTAAAATCCTTCACTGTATATTTAAAAGTAAGAGATGGGTTAAAATAGAAGCTAAGGAAATGCTCTGATTTTAAACATACAGACATGTGTTTTGCTTAATCAATTTAAACAATCATTATTGATTGGCATGTCTTGGGGTTGTGATCATTCCTAGTAGTTCATGACTAAAACAATACCAAAGAGCTTAGCTCTGTACTGAATGGAATCTGAGAGGGAATCTATATATCCTGCA